TTCTCCCAGATTAATAACATCTCTTTCAACCTTCACAGTGTGATAAATAGACAAAGAGAGAACAAAAGGAGAAACAGAAGTGAGAGAAAGAGCCAGAGCAACTCCACATAATAAAGAGAACCAAGAAAGGGGAAAGGAAAAAAAAGGGAAAAGAAAAGGGAAAGAAAGGAGCCGGCACACTTGACTCTGCCATTTACTTTAGCAGATTCTCCCCAAGAGCACCCTGCCATCCTTAAAGAATGTAAAACATTGCTCAAAGGAAAGGCTCGTTAGCAACCCTGACCAGCTCAGGTTTGCTGGAAATCTTTTCACTTCCAACCTCTGCTCAGGTCAGCACTGAAAATGAGCTTGTTGGTTTCTTGTTCTGCTCCTCCCCAGACTCCCACAGAGGCAAAGCCTCCAGCAAAGGCTTGCTCTCTCCTTTATTTAAGGCATCAGCTTGGAGGGGAATGGGAGGCCTTAGATGGTGCCTTTTCCAGGGGTGTCCCAGCAGTTCAGCAAGCCCAAAAGAGGCTGGCAGAGCAGCAACTGGCTGACACAACAAGGGCTGTTCCAGAAGCCAGGATCATGCATGGAGCTTGGAATGGGGATGAAGACCAAAAGCATAATGACAGCAGAGCAGACATGGGGCACGAGTCTGGCTGGAGATCCAGAGGAAAGGAAATGCCTGCATGAACAGAGCAGAACTGCAGTGGAAGTGGCACAAGCCCCAGCTCCCCAGGTTACAGTCTCTGTCCCCTGGGAGGAAGCTCCTGTTCCTGACTGTTATGCACAGCCCAAACCCACATTTAGGCGACTGGAGTCCCACTGATGATTGTGGAGCTGCAGTCCCCCTGTATGCTCATGCCTGCTCCAAGCAAGGGAATGGCACTCACAGGTACCTCATTCCCAGCACTCCTCTACTCTTATTTGTTCAGAATAAACTGAGCCCTAGGAAATGGTGATTCTACAGCCCAGGACCCCAGAAAACCAACCCCACTGGCCCTGAGGCACGTGGACAGAGATGTTTAGCTATTTCCCACCCACAGCCTTCACCAGAGCTGTGCAGTTCAGCTTTTTCACTCTGCCACGCTGTATTGAACACTCCATACACTCTCCAAGTTATTTTAATAATTAAATGTTTATTGGCACATTTTTCCCATACTGTTTCCACATTTGCCTGATTTTCTTTCCAGTGAGTGACTTCCCTTGGTTCAGTCCTTCCACAGGATGCACACCTGCAAAACATTTCCTCTGCTTTCCCCATAAGGAGCATCCATCCCCTCTGCAGCCCATCCCTGCGGACTCCTGGCAGGTGCTGTGCATACTGAACACCACCTTGCCAAGCCCACATGAACAGCTTAGGCAGAGCTCTGGATTTCTGGCCAGGATGGTGCTCTATTATGGCACTCTCAGCCCCCATGCAGAGAGTGGGCTAGGTTGTTTTTTTTTCCTCTCTTCTTTTATACTGTTCCATATTACTCCAGGCTTTGAAGTACAGAGAAAAGCAACACTCAATGTGCCTTTTTTTTTTCCTTCTCCTTAAACCTACCTTTATCATAGCAAATCTTTTCCTTCTCTGCTGTGTCGCTGGAGATAGATATCTAGCAAAAAAAATGTCTCCTCTTCTAACAATGGGTTTCCCTTCCCTTCTGAACTTCAAATAGAAAACTCTTATCTACAGCCACAGTTGACCAGAAGAAGAAAAGAAATGAAAACAGACATATGAACTGAACCCAGGCTCTCTTTCTATTCACTTGGAAAAGCTGTGCTGGGTTCTTCACACAGAGATGCTCTGAACATGTTTATAGCAAGTATTTACTCACTTCACTAGCTATCCACCCACCATAGAAACCCACCTTTCCTCAAGAACAATTCTCCTCTGCTCCATGTATCCTTTTCAATCTCTTCTTTGCCTAGCAAACACCATGTACCTGGACCATCCAGCACAATGCCTACACCTAAAGGTGGGGACAGCAAGAGCTCTTCAAACTCAGCTAAGAGAAACTGCAGTGATGCCCCTGGCACACAGAAAGCATCACTTTTGTACAACTGCAAGTTCTTTAAATGACAGAATGGATCACAGGTCAGATCTTGCTGGCTGTACTTGCACAAGATGCCTTGCATAGGCTGAGACCAGGCTACTTCAGCCACTCATGACTTACCCGCATTCCCCCCCCACCTCATGCAGCAGTCGTGTGTCACTGCTGGTGCAGCCAGTTCCTTCGTGTGTTTTAACACTCCCTCCCCTTTGAACAATCTTCTGGAGCTGCTCCAAGGAGAAACATACAGAACCACAGAACTTATTTTCCTTCCCCACTTTGGACCCTGGGTACAGACCTCTGCTGTCCTGGCTTTCCTCCCCTTCAGTGGCTTGATCTCTGGAGAGGCTCTGCCAGGTCCAGTTGTTGTCAAGCCACCCTTGCTCTCTGCCCAGTTTACAGAAGTTAAAATGTGAGTACTGTGCTTGACAGATAGCGTTTCTCCCACGTCACAGTGCCAGGACCAATACACATAGCATGAAACACAAGCAAGCAGGCACTACTGCCTTCCCCCCCTCCCACTGTGTCCTGCTGGGCTACATGTGCTTCTTGAACCCTTCCTGCTTTCAGCCTTGACAACCTTCTCACACAAGCCTTGGGGAACCTGGCCTTACAGCCCTGGAGCACCTCCTGGCTATAGCCACAGAGTTCCTATTCTTCTTACCCGTGTAACTCAAACCCACCCTGAGATCAGTTACAAATTCATTCACAGGAGACTGCTGGACAGACAAACTGTCTTCCTCCCCACACATGGCATCGTGGGCTCTGCCACCAGAGATGGACATAGCTTCTGCCACTTCCAATGTTGTCTTCCAGCCTGCCAGGGGGGACCAGAGTCAAAGAGACTTGTTGCTGGAACTGGAGTCAAATTCCCAAATCAACTGGGACAGAGGACTGGAAACTTTCCAGATAATTCTCCATTAGAAGTAAGAACTTTCCTTCAGCAAAACCCAGATCTCATTCTCATTCAGGGAATTTGGAGCTCCTAGCAAAAGGGAAGATTAAATGCCACCTGAGACATGGGCAGAAATCCTCCACAGTCACACTTGGGGACAACATCCAAGTTCAAGCTCAAACTCATTTGGACTGGAGACAGTTTTGGTAATTCTACCTGACTCAAAGCAGTCCTCAGCCAGGAGAGCCCATCCTGTGGCCCCTGCTGCCCAGCATCCTCTACTGCAGTACCCCACAGAGCTTCCCAGGCAGCAGCGTTATTCTCTTTGTGTTAAACTCTTACAGAGTCCCCAGTGCTCTTCCCGTGGGGCTGTCCTGGTGTTGCAGAAGGCTCCTCCCTGTGGAGCTACAATGTGAAGATCCATCAGACAAAGCACCTTCTCTTCAAGCTGCCTGATGACAGATGTTCAGCCAATGGAGCAGTGGGATTGGCAGAGCACCGCAGAAGCGCTTTATAATTCCTGCTCCTCTCCTCCTTCCTCAGCGTCTCCTGGGAGAGACGCGATGATGAACGGTGACATAACTGACTGTTCCCAATCAAGGTAATGTAAGTAATGACAGCTGACGTGATTCCTGGAACGTGCAGGCACTACTGGCCCACGTGCCTTGCCTACCACAGGCAGCACCGCCAGAGCTTGTGGAGGGAGAGGAGACCAGAGCATAAAGTCTGGCTGGGGTACAGGGGAGAGAGAGTCCCAAGACAAGAGACTGTTGCAAGAGGCAAACCAGCTGCAAATAACTCATTACATCAGTCTGCAAGCAGAGCAGGAGCCAAGGGGAAGTGGTCAGCATCTATGTCATGTATCAAACCCCTCCTGGCCTGTGTACAATGCCTGCCCCACACCTGGACACCACACCAGGGTGACACCTGAGACTGTAGCACTGCTAGTCCTTAGAAGGTGGTGTGTGGGGGTCTTGCTTGGTCCCTCTAGGTTCAACAAGGCTTTAATTGCCCCAGCCCTGCCCCTGCTCCCCCCACCATCTGTGACTATCTGGATACAGGAACATTACATCAATAACATGGACCTTGCCTCCCCATGCAGCTGCTGCACAGGCAGAACTATGTCATCTGAACCCAAAGCAAGGGGGTGCAGCAGCCACAGATTGCATACACAGGTGTTGAGAGACTCACAGAGGGAAAGAAAATACTGTGAAATCTCATACCCACAGTCCTCTTCCTTGAAATTAGTAGGCAAATTTAGCATGCAGAGAAACGACCGATTAATAACCCAGCATTGACTCAAGAAGACCCTGAATAATACATAGTGCTTGTACATGGAAGGGGAAGAAGTCAAGTCCTTCTGCCTGTCAAGTGTATCTGCCTCCCAAGCACTGACATCTGATGAGAAACCTCCCTGCTAGCCACACACAGTTCTAAGCAGCTCTTCAGAAATAGCTTTTGTTAAGACGAAGGGCAAAACTTTGCACCAAGTTAGCCTGGCATATTTGGCACAGGTCCAAATATGGTGCTATTTTAAATGCAATTAGTACTGCCTGTTAATAAGGCTCCTTTACACCTGCCAAGTGAAGAATGCTGCTGGGTGTTTGGAACCTTAACCACGAGGCTGCCCAAACCTCTCCTTCACCCTGTCTGCACTGCAATCCTCCCAGCAGCTCAGCCATGTCAAGAAAAAGTTGGATCCAAATAGACAAAAGACTGGCAGAAACTCAGCTGCAGGTGCTGGGCTCCACCACGCCATAATGACAGCAGATGAAGCTCTGAATGAACTATTCCCTTCCACAGCTTGATTCCAGCTTCTGTTGTTTAATGCTGGTTTTGGTGTGAGACACTTGAGCAGTGGCATCAGTATCCCTGTGTGGTGCTACTTTCCTAAATGATGATGTCTGGAGAAAAATTTGCTCCCTTCTGAGAATATTCCAAACCAGATCTAGCAGGAAAATGGTGTTTACCTTGGCAACGGCCATGTTTGTGTAGGGGCTACATACAAAATGCTCATTCTGAGAGGGGTGAAATGCTGTAGAGCACCAGGGATTTGTGAAGGTAGCATCAGTGAAATCAGTGAGTGTAACTCAAGTGCTTTAATTTTTGAGATGGGGAGAGAAACTGAACAGCAGCTCAGGCAGAGGCTCCCAGTAACTGGTCGTTCTGACTTCTGTGGCTGAGTGACCCTCCTGTGCAGCCAGCCCACAAGGATGCTGCATGGATTTAATGCCTGCAAAGCAATTTGAAAGTGAAAAGCCTCACAAACGAGCCTTGTGGCTGATGTCCAGAGGCAGGAGAGATGAGACCTAATTTCTGTTTCAATCTCTGATATGGATCACAGGAAAATCATCCAATCCCCCATGCCTCAGTATCCCCATAATAACATCTGTTGAGTGGTATGAGCCTAAATTAATTCATGTCTTTAAAGACCTTTAACATCTACTACCCGAAGACCAAAGGACCATCACTACGCAAAACATGAGCTGTGTAAGGCACAAGGTCAGAAGGCATTTTAAAAAGAAGCCACCCAGTGCAAAACACAATGGAAAAGAAGTCAGCAGGAAACAAGACTTGCCTTCTTCAGATGTAAATGAGTGCCAGCTAGCAGCAGAGCTCCAAAGACACCCATTTTAGCACCAAAAAGAGTTTCTACAAAGGGACCCAAGAAAAAAATGCGATAAACAGGCTCAGTTCTCAGAGTTTGATTTCCAGAGCAGTAAGCACAGAAACTGAGCCCAAAGAAAAGATCTGTATTAGAATCCAAATCCAATCATTCTGGTAATAAAGAAAAGACATCTGAACTGGTGCAGAACTATTTCCAGAGAGAAGTTTGTCTCTCCATCCCTTTAACATACTGCAGTGGCTCAATGGAAAAATACTTTAGAAGTTGCAAGTTTGGTCATAATGTGTAAAAAGCCCCTGAAATGCGACATCATTTACTCTTCTGTGGTATTGCTCAGCAGAGCTAATAAATCTTGCATGAGCAGAGCTGATTCTAATTTTCTAATATGAAAAGGCATTTGGATTGAGAGAGAGGGGAAGATAAAAGTGATTGAATCTCCAATAGCCCAGCGTCAGTGACAAGAAACATCCTGCTATGGACCCCAAGGAAGAATGGCTCCCCCTCCTCCCTGAACCACAGGCACACTCACCTGCTTGCACATCCAATTCTCCCTGCTTTCTGCTCGCCACGTCTCAGTCTCCCCTATTGACAGGACGTGGTTTTAAACACAGTTACACAAGTTATCATTTCTGCCTTTTGATCAATCTGAATTTTCAGGACAATTACCCTCTTAATCAATGATTGCTATCAGCAGCCCCTTGGATTCTTCACCAAGGCAATCGTGCCGCCGGGGCAGACAGCGTGTGCATATGCAATGAAGCTGCGGGGAGGCACAAGTCCATCTTCCCCTGACGTAGTCATCGGCTGAAAGGGTGGAGAACTGTGAAGGCCACTTCAAGGAACACCTGATGTAAAAAATAAGTGGAGGGAATTAAAAGGGACATTGTGCAAGGTATCTGTGGCACAGCTGGGCTGGGGGGATCGGGGACCTGCTGAACATAACATCGAGTTGAAAAATAAACCAACTAACACAAGAGATTTAACATCCACCGAAACCATATATTTAAGCGCTATCTATAGCCAGCACTAACCATTCCTAACAAGGCTAATAAAGTCAGTTTCCAATTAAGAGACTGAAACACTAGAAGAAGGAAAGGCAGAGAGGCAGCTTTTAAAAACCTCTGAAGATGTGGGATTTGGATATGGGGCTTTAATTTTTTTCCTGTCAGAAATTACTTAATATCACCAAAATGCCCCTAGGATTTACACACACAAAGCAAGCCCCCCGCTGCTGTTCCCTGGCAGGGTATGTGTTTCAGTAATTGATGTTTGCACAGAACCTCAGCTCTTGGAGGATGTGGCTCCTTTGAGGCATCTCTCAGCACCACAGAAACATGGCCTCAGATATTTAGACACCACAGGAAACCTCAAAGCAGCCAAAACCCAACTGCAGGAGCTGTGGGCTGGCTGGGGGATAAGGCTTGATATCCCTTCTCTTGCAAGAGCACCACCAGGCCATTGGCAGGTTCATGACACTTGGCTTGTGTTTCCAGACAAGGCAGGGCAAAGGAGCACATGGCTCCCACCCACACATCTCTCTGGGCTGCCCCCTCGACAACTTTAAGTGCTTCCCCATGGCATGGGATTCCTTAACACAACATTCTGCCCAAAAAATATACCTCAGCCAGACCCAGGCACTGTTGTATCTTCCCGAGTAAGTCAGCAGGTAAAGAGGCTGCATCTTTTCCCAGGCTTGGAAAGCATCCTGCACCTCTCACATGCTGTGCCGGCAGGAGGGAGCTTTGGGACCTGGATGGCAGCAGGAAAATGCTGCTGGAAAGCAGTCGAGCTCCTGCAGAGGAAGGCTTTGCGGTGCCTTCACCATTTTGACCACCAGATCGGGCTGGCAGAAAGCAACAGAGGCATCGCCAGGTGAGGCTCGTGGGCCAGCTGCCTTTGCAGGCTGCTGGCTGGAGGAGCTCTCTGAAAGGCACAGTATTTCACTAGCTATTTTGCATGGAGAATTGCCGATCAAAGTTATCCCCACTGTGTACTCCAGAGCAATAAAAATAAAAAAAACCCACAAGAAGAATTCTTTAGGCGGGTAATGGGCATTTTATTCCTTTTTATGACACTAAACATAGGCAGCTGGCATAATTACACCACAATAAAGGCATAATGTGCACCTAGCAGAACAAACTCATACTTTTGATAATTAGGCAGAGCAAACACAGACTGGTATTCAGACACATGGCTTTACTGTCTCCTGGATCTGTTAGAGCCCCTATCCTCAGCATGGCAGCCCCATTCTTACAACTGGATTTAGTTGGGCCCTGTAGAGAGGGCTGAGCAAGGAATGTGTCACTAGAACTCTCCTGCAGCAAGAGAAATGACCATGCGCCTCCACTGCTTAGAGCAGACATCCCATGTGCAGCATCTGGGAGGTGGCTGAAAACTGTGTGTGGCAGAGTTACCAACAGAGGATCAGTCATCTCCTGATCAGCACAGACTGTCCCCACAGGGGAAGGAACAGTGCAGCAGAACCAGCTCCATACGGGCAAAATATATGTGGTACAATGGCAAAGGGAGACCCAAAACACAGGAGAGACTCAGAGCTGTTTCTGGTTTGGCAGCTCTGCCAAGGTCAGCTCCAGTACCTGGAAGGGCTCAGCAGAGGTGTGAGGACACCCCTCCACTGCAGTGTCCAAATACAGTTGGTGCCAAAAGGCAAGAACAGATTGACATGTCCCAGGGAGGCTGAAAGACCCTCACCCACAGAAATAAAGGCTCAGTCTGGACCTGTTGGAGGTTAGAAATAAGCTCTTTGAAAGTTTCATGCTACCCATAATCCTGGTAGACCTGCCTCCTCCAAAACACACTATCAGGCAAGAAGCACACTCCACTGGCAGCTGCAGCATCCACACAGGACAGTTCTCCCTGAGTGAGGAGCGTAGCTAAGGCAGAGATCCCAAATGATCTCTCAAATATTAACAGCATCAATCAGGGCCAGGCTGACAGAGGTTACCACACTGGGAGAGCACAGGAAACAGGCTTTCCTGAAATTGATACAAAACCATACACTAAATATCTACAGTTTGCTTAAAAACACATCTGCAGGATACATGCAGGAGAAGCACTGGCAGAACAGTACACTGAGGTTTCATCTCCAAACCACTAAAACCATCAGAGATGTCAACCAATGCTTGGAGGAGAGACAACAGCTCCACTACACTCCATCCTGCGTGGCTTAATGTAAGTCATTTGCTTTCAGGTATTTTGAGTGCAGTGTTGAAATAAATGCCGATGTCCTGACTCAAAGAAAGGTGAGGTGGATGGAGCTGATCCATCAGTCATGAAACCTACATTTTCAGCTGTGGAGAGGATGTCCAGGAAAACATCAAACATGACTATGAGCTTAGCTTTTGCAACACAATATTGAAGACAAGGAAGGAAGGAAGGGTGCATGTTTGTCAGTAAATAAAAGCATCTTGCCCCACCACACCTACTGACACCCAGAAGAGACTGCTGAGCATTTGATGGGTACTCAGTGAGCTTGGGAATGACCATTTGCTCAGGAGCTTTAATGCCCTATAAAGATAGCAGCAACACTCATGTCAGAGCACCCAAGGAGAAGATGGTCCTGGTCTGTAGGAGACAGTGCCCAGGTAACTGGGAAAGGCAGTCACTGTGGGATAGACCCTAGCTGGGCTCATGCTTCAGAGTGATGAGAGCTGCCCTTCCCAGCAGGCCACAAAATAAAAGAAGTTTGTGCCCAGACAAGGACAAAAGATGGGTTGTTTTCTAAACAAAAGCAGATCATATCTGTAGACTTTTCAGCCAGTTCTTAGAAAAGCCACTTTGACAGATTCAATCCTTGGGCTGCAGAGTTCAAGCACGGAAACCTGCAAGTGGAAAGAGCAAAAGCCAGGATGAAGCCAGAAGTGCTACGCCAGCATGGGGGAAGGGTGACAGGAGACTTTTAATCCTAACTCTGAAATCAACTTGCTTAGTAGCCTTGGGGTTCTGAGTGATTTAATTAATTAATTTAATGAGTGTGAAGTACTGCAAGTTATTAATATACAAATTCCACTACTGTATCTCCCATCTCACTGCTCACCATCTCTGGCTACTTTATATTGAGCCCATGAGAGGCCACAGCCAAGCCCTGGTATGCCTCTGTGCAATGGGGCAGCGGCTGCACACCCACACTTTCCCACCCAAGACACCAGTAGCAAAGTCCCAACCCTTTCAGTAGTACAGTGCATCACACATGGCACAGGGCACCAGGAACATCTCATACAAAAAAAACCCGAAAAAACAAAAAACAAAGTTCTGTTCTTCCCACTTATGGTAAGCCAATGGCTACCATAAACCTGTCTGCTGTTGCTGGTGGTGATGGAGCTACTCTCCCTTTGTAGCTATGCTGCCTTGGTAGGAAAATGAGGACCAAAGCAGCCAATGTTTTAATCCCATTTTTCACACATTTGTGCCTTCAACTCCCAGCTCTTCCTGGCCTGAAATGCAGGACACATTGCAGGATTATTGTAAAACATGCCCTGCCTCTAATCCCTTCTCCTCCAGCCTTGCTCCAGTATTGACTGCAAGGAGCTGTGTCAGGCCTGGGGTCGGCTTCTCTCTCACTATACTAGGGCACAAAGAAGATTCCAGCCCCTCTGGTGAACCTCAGCAAGTGAGACATGTGGAAATGCAGGACACTCCACAGCTTCACATAAACAGGCAGGTGAGACTGGAGGCCCCAGCTTCTGCCAACAGCACTAGTGCCCTGTAGGCACAGCCTCAGTCCTATGTGCAGGTGAAAAGCCAGACTCATGTCACCAGCTCACAAATGCCTAATTCTCACCATTCTTGTGGTTCCCCGGGCTTGCTCCTGGCCTGTCAAGCTAAGGGGACCAAGTCTGGGTGCAAGCTCTTTCTAAAGCTTTTGTCTTTGGCACCTAGAGCACACACCCCCATAAAGAGGCAGGACCAGGAGTGTCAGCACGGCTCCTTCCTCAACCTGCAAGCAACAACCAGACCCATGGAACAAAGGTCTGAGCACTATGTTTAACCTCAGCAGCAGCACACACACACAGCCAGATGGAAACCAGGAGGCTCCTCAGTGCAGGGGACAGATGTTCAAATCCCCCAGCACGGGGAATGCAGGCACAGTGAGGTACATCCAAGCAACACTTGCATAGACAAGGATGCTTTTGGTAAAGTGACCATCACAGTGTGCTCAGCAAACTGGTGCTCAGAATTTCACCTAAAAGGCAAATCTTTTGCCCTGGTTAAAAAAAGATCAAAGGCAACAAATTCTCCTCCCTGCTTTGTCCAGTAGCTGCAGGGTACATGGGATCAAGGAACACAATTGTGCATTTTCTCTTGAATCAATACCTTCTGACCTTACCTGAGAGCCCTCTGTATCATGTGGCTACAGGAGGCCCTGATTCTTACTTGAAGCCCAAAAGCACTGTCAAATAATAAAGTCTGCCTTGGGATTTTCCCAGTTCAAACATCTGGGATTTGGGCAGACAGCATCAGAAGGGGAGTGGAGACTGTACATGGCACCCAAGAAAAATATCCTTCTTTCCCAGCTCACGTACTCTTTGAGTTCCAGTGATGTGTCCCAAGGAATGCAGACAGCCCATGTCCCAGTGCAAGGGCAAAGGACAAAGTATCAGAACACAGGGCAAGCAAGACGGGATGACTGACTGACTGTCTTCTTCAAGGCAGGACCTGCTCTACCCAAACCACCCCCACCACATTCTTCTGAACTCACAAGAGCTAGAGGTCCCATATTCCTGCTCTTATCCATGGAGACTGCTTACTGATCTTGCAGCAGGTCAAGAGCCATACACCACAACCAATCAGAAACTGAGCATTTTCATTCCTCAAAAATTATTTC